TCACTCATAGAACATGTATGATTATTGTTGAAAACAATTATTTGAAATATTAACTACGATTATACTCTAAAAAATTACAAAACATCTAGTAGCTTATTTCTTGCGCGCCGACTTGTGCCAACCTGTCATTCAAAATCGGTTACAGAGTCATGAGGTTTGCTATCCTTTTCTATCTTGCCTTTTGCCATAAGGCATTTTCTACTCCCTCACACACTATGTTGGTCTATGGTGATTACTGTGGGCCATAAACTATTTATTTTTATATAATCGATGAAGAATTAAAATATAGATGCGTTGTCAACCCTGTAGAGTGTGGATAAAGAAGGAATATCGCGTTATGTAAAAAAAGTGTGCCTACTCTCTACACTCACCATACGAAGCACAGCAGCATTATGCTGCTATTTTACGTTGGTTATTTAGTGTTGATTTCAAATACAATATTGTCTTATGTATAAGTGTGATAATAGAGCACGCAGTCCATCAGATGGTAAGAGAATGCTGTGGCCCTAAGACAACTACAATAGTTGTCATCGATTAAGAATCAACTTACAGATGCGTTGAAACCCCTGAGAACTCAAATAGGATGCATCATTTCGACTAAATTGGGTCTACGGTTCTCTACACTCACCATAAGAAATACAGCAGCACTATGCTGCTATTTATGTGTAAGCCGACCCATTCGTGCTATAACCATAATATAGCTGCAGTATGACTCTACCACATATGGTAATAAGATACTAATAACTGTTATCGCGGCACATCATCGCGCCACAGACTAAACGAACCGAAGCCTAAATCAATCAAATTGAAGTTCCGAAGTGCTTATATATACTGGAGATTCGGCCAGCGCCTGAGGTGTATATCTAATATCTATAGTAGTAGTAGCTGTCTTTAGTACTACAGTAAAACTTGGTTAAGTGGGACCTGGATAAAGAGAAACTTCCATAGCTGAAACTCATTCTTAGGTCCCAACACTGAATTACCTCTGTTAGTGGGACAAAACAAACCTCTATATCTGGGATTAGTTCTTTCAATTTTACTGTCATAATTACCTCTATAATTGAGACAGCGAGTGTATTATACCTCTTTCACTGAGACTTTATTTTAGGAATTAGTTCTTTCGTTTTATTCGTCATAATTACTTTTATAATTGAGACAACGAGTATATTTTACCTCTTTTACTGAGAATATATTTTGTGTACCGTTTTGTTTACTAATTCATATTCGACCCGCAAATTCCGCACTTGGCTAATTGTGTACAAGTAACCTCTAGATTTAGTTTGGTTTTGCTATTGTCTGGATGTTAATTTGAAAATGTACGTTATTTTATTTAATAATCGCACCTCTATAACTGAAATAACCTCTATTATCAGCTATTGATGGAACCCTCTGAAAATGAAACAGATATTTATTAATACTTGGATATCTGAGACACTGAGTAAGTGGAATACCTCTTTAAGTGAGACAAATTTGCTGGTCCCTTAATGTCCCAGTAATCCAGGTTTAACTGTATATATCTCAATATAAAAAGAAACAAATGATGTCCGTTAGTATTGCAAAAACTCGAAAATGGCTGGACTGATTTTGATGAAATTTTTTGTTGATCCCTGGATGATATAAACGATTCACAATTGGACCCGCCGTTGTCGAGAACCAGAAATCACCCGTGCGAAGCCGGGGCGGATCGCTAGTGTACTATATATCTAAAAAGTACTCTGTGGGGCCTGCCAAGACATATTTGAGGTTGTACGTACGTACGGTGCTTTTTCTAAAATTCTCCCTACTTTAGTGCGAAATCTCTCGAAAATTACAGGGAGCTAGGTAATGTTTTCTTGGTGATCAAGATGATGATGGTGTAACGCATTGACTTATACGTGGTAAAGCCATGCTAAAGCTATATTACTTGTATAGTTATAGCACGAATGGGTCTGCTCGACCGGGGAAGGATCACGTTCTCACAGAATACCAGCATAAAATAGCAGCTTAATGCTGCTGTATTTCGTTTGGTGATTGTTGAGAACCGGAGACCCTATTTTCTGGAAACGAGGCATTCCATCTTAGTCCTCACGGATGACAACGCATCTCAATTTTGATTCATATTTGAGGATAGATGTAGATGTCTATGGGCCACAGCAACCACTTACCATCAGGTGGACTGTGTGCTTGTTTGTCACCCTTATCCTATAAAAAAAAACTTAGCTTAACAAAAGTCGTTAAGACCTATAAATTACAGGTACTGGCATTCCACTCCTTTGCTGTACGTATTACTAAAGACGAAGCAAACCGTTTGGTTTGAATACGTGGTGTTTACATAATTTAAAATTTAAAATTTTGTACAACCGACTTCAATATAAGTTTTTAAGAATATCTCAAAAACTATTGGTTAGACTTTGATCAAATTTATATGGGACTAGGTGAGAAGCATCTGCTTTCAAAAAAAAAAGAACCAATGAAATCGTTTCACCCAGAAAAAATTTATGAGGTTACACAGATAAAAGAAAAAAAAACATACAGTCGAATTGAGTACCTCCTCCTTTTTGGAGTCGGTAGATAACAAAAGGATGGAGAATAGTCCATCATCTATTTATCCTATGGTGCGGATATTAAGTCGCACAATGCCTGTACAAATTCGCCGGAATGTATCGTATAAAACACTAAACGGCTGTCTACTTTGCACCTACGCTCGAAATCGTTAAGATTGGCTTTATCCAGATTGAAGTGATCAATAAACCTCTTACCATGCCTTTGCATTAAGTCTAAAGCTGCTAGGTGGCATTTTGCTGCAGCAGCTCATATATGGGAGCAATACTATATGCACGACTTGACAAGTGCTTTTAGTAGAGTAAGCAGATGTTTCGGCGTGAAGTGCCGCCGCACCTTTGCGAAGACACCTAGCATCTTTAAAGCTGCTTTAGTTCTAGACTCAATGAATCGCCCATAGTGCAGGTTCTCAGAAATATCAACCCCCTAATTAAAATAAATTAAATAATAGGTCTACCTTATTTAACGACTAACTTTAACTGAAGACCATGGGCTACCTTTGACGTTGCTCCTCTTTCTACAATCTGGTATAAAAATAATGAACAAGATTTAAAAAATAAGAAACTTTGGTTGCTAGACTGTCTTCCAAGTTTTTTTTAATAGAATAAGGGTTACAAACTAGTACACAGTTCACCTGATGGTAAGTGGATGCCGTGGCCCATAAACATCTACATTTATCCTCGATTAAGAATCCAAATGCAGATGCGTTGTTACCCTTGAGGACTAAGATGGATTGCCTCGTTTCCAGTAAAAGGTTCTACGGTCCTCTACACTCACCATACGAAACAGCAGCATTAAGCTGCTATTTTGCGCTGGTATTCTGTGAGAGCGTGGTCCTTCCCTGGTCGAGCCGACCCATTCGTGCTACAACTATAATATAGCTGCAACTATGTCATGTGCAGTTCCGATGTGTCAATCTATAGAAGAAGCATATTTTCAGCAGTGGCCTTTTGATAACCCCTTAATGAAAATGGTGAATGAAAATAAAAATAAGACATTAAGGACTTTAAGCATCTTTTTTCCTCCATTTTTCCTTTAATACCTTAAGATTAAAAACTTGGGCTTTAAAATTGTTAAATACCCCTTAATTTTAGTACCAATTATCTCTATAGTTTAGTTATCTCTTTCAATTTTTATTTTGTGAAAAGAGAGAGAGCAACTTTAAGCATTTCTTAAATTGTCATCGATTTGTATGAGGCCGACTATTATCAACATTCTTTTGATCGTTGAAAACTCTTTGCTATCGCAAACACTGGCTGGTACATTTTCACAACATTTTCACTCATTATGAATTTCAAATTGGGAACTGTTTGGAACAATAGATCCGAGCGGCCCATCCGACAGGCGCAGATGCGCAATTTTTTTTCAAAATTTTAGTCCGTACCAAAATTTTTGTATTATTTAGTTGATTTACAAGGTTTTTTAGACATATTTTTACGACGGATTGAGCAAAATTTCAAGTAATCATGGTAAGTACTTTACTATAAATGTAATCTTTTGTTCTTTTATCAACTTAATATATACGATACGGAAAATCCATCAACCAGGATTTATTTTGGTTTGGATTATTAAAATCCACCAAGTTGTTGGCATTTTTAAAATAATACATCAGACTATGAAAAATTTATTATGATTGTATTTTGCAAATATTTTGGAACCTATAGAACCTGATAAAATACTGACGAGATTATTTTAACCTTTCGGATTATAATCTATATACTTGCCTAAGAGAGAAAATCATATTTATAAACAAAAAATACGAGAACCTTTACTTAATAAGAATTATAGTTGAACAATTAATAAGCTTGACTTGATGAAGCGACTATCTGTGCAAGGTGGCTGGTATAACTGGATCCTGGATATGGTGTATCCGAAGCGTAGTGTACCTTGGGTGTGATGATGTCCACCTGCGGACTGCCACAATGGTGATGAATGAATAAACCTACTAGATTGTAGATCTCCACCTGGGGGTGTGCCCTCTGATAGTAGAGGAGATAGATCTCTCTATTTCTGCTTCTAAGCGGCTATACTTTCATTATGATGTACCGGTTTGGAAGTTTTGAACAGGCCCCTTTATAACAAGAAAGATGAAAACTGTGCTATAACAGAATATGAGGCATCTTAGTTCTCTAAGGCGATGCAAGCTGTACGTAACCTTGCAAAACGGTGTTTTTTTACGTTATTGTTATGACTTACAGTAGTATCATTACGTTAACCATTGTACAAAATATGCTTTGCCTTGCAGGACATTTTAAAGTGTACCTTAGATATTCTCGTTATGTACACCTGTGCTTGCGCACTTATGCATTATAATCCTGTCCAGCGCATATGGCTAGTCGCAGTTGTGACTGGCCGCTGTGACCGAAATTGTCTGGAGGACATCACAAAAAATGTTAAATGTATAAATAAATCGACAGAGGGAGTGCATCTCGGTGCACATTGGCCAGGCTGGAGTGCAGATGGGGGTGGCCTGCTGGCAGTTGTACTGTCTGGAGCACGGCATACGGCCTGACGGTACGCTACCGTCCTTTGAAACTGACGGCGGCGCAACGGACTCCTGTTTCAACACATTCTTCTCGGAAGCGGACCGGGGCAAGATGGTGCCACGGGTGGTCATGGTCGATTTGGAGCCCACTGTGATTGGTGAGTGAGTGGATTCTAGATATAGAATAGAATAGAATCACTTTATTTTATTTAAACTTTACCACTGGTTCGGTCAAGGAAGGCACAGCAAAAAACTCAGCAGGACATTTAAAAAAAATTACAATATAATTTTTGGTACAATTAGAATGAAGACATTTAGAAACATATGGTAGCGATCACCTCATTCCCAGGGGTTCCATTCTCATTATCAATCATGTACTGTTTACTAGTATAATACAAAAACAATTTTTGTTTAATAGATATTGTAAACTTTTTGATGGATAACTCTTGCATATTTTCTGGGACTACGTTGTAAAAGCGTACATATAGCCCCGTGAAGGAATTACTGACTTTTTGTAGTGGAGTAACTAAAATATTAGAATGTCAGTAGCTACATTTATTAAATGAAACTATTTTTTACGAAATTTATCGTGTTTAATTTAATTTTTGAATTCCCGACGTTTCGGGTGCTTTACAGCACGCATGGTTACCGGGGGAGGGGGGGGGACTGAGGTGTTTGACGTCCCGATGTCATAGCCCGACTACCTTCAGTTTTTGAATATTAATTTTTGGTCCGATCTACGCAGAATGAGCGTACAGTATCTTGAAGTCTTGCAGTGGTATGTTTGGGTTTGGATTTAATTTTATTATAGGATCCCAAGCAGATGGCAGCACCCGTCCATCTTCTCTATTGAAATTAGGATGTTTTTTTTAATTTCAATAGCCTCGCGAATCACCCTTGGTAGGAATTTTTATACCCACCTTTATGGATTTGTGGTATATTAAATCTAATGTAATGAAGGGGACGATCTTGAACATGTTCACACACTGCAGACTTCCCGGAGCGTCGGTGCTTCAAGTCAGCTATATGTTCTTTCACGCGGGATTTCCATGGGTGCTGTAAAGCACCCGAAACGTCTGGAATTAATACGTTAAACGCGATAAAATCCGTACAAAATTGTTTAATTTAATGTGTAGTTTTTGCGTAAATATAAGAAAGCTACATTTATCTTCACTTTTCAATTGAGAGGATTATTTAATGCTTAATATTGATTATTTTTAAATATTATGCAATTACACACATGTGTAAGCATAACACCGTGTAGTGGCGGTGTAAAAGAATATCCACTACTTCATATCGTCCCTTGGGTGTCGTAAGAGGTGACTGACCCAGGAAGATGGGCCGGAGCATCCTTTTACCCGGCTGCCACAGAAGGAGAGTAATATTTTTCGTGAATATGTATCTATGTTTTGATTATACCGTGATATGATACGATTGATATACATGATTGTATGTCCATTTCTTTGGCACGCTCTGTTATTGGAACAGACGAAACGGCTTGATGAATTTTAACATAAGATATGTCGTTAGATTAGTCTTAAATATGCGAGTGACATAAGGTATAATAATATTTTTTGTTTTTATTTTCAGTACATTTTTACGCAGTCGAGTTTTTTAAATTACTGTTTAACAATTTGACTTATTAACTCTAAATAATAAAAAAATAACTGCGGTTGCGAACCCGCCTGTCAAACATGGCAACTATGACAAAATCCTTCCTGGCATTTTAAGGGGGAAGCCCATGTTAAGCAGAGGAATTTCATGCTTTAATGCATATAACTTATTCTTGTTTAAATAATACATTTATATGTAGTAGACTGTCACAGAAAACCAGCGTAAAATCGCAGCAGTAAAACAACATACATAACATAATTTTTTCATCCAGCACTTTAAAGCTCGACCAGACGCGATATCAGTTTTGATAAAATCTGAACATTTTTAAGCGTAATCGAGTGACAAACATCCAAACATATGTAACTCAAATTTATTTTATAAAATAAGGGTGGAAACTAGCACATAGTCCACCTAAGTGGATTCATACATATACATACATTTATTCTCGATTAAGAATTAAAATGCAGATGTGTTTTCACAATTCAGAGCACCGAAACGATTAGCTAGCTGTTTTAATTGAATATTTTAACAAAAATTATATAAGACTAAAAATTACACGTTAATACAGCGTACAATGTAGTGTACAATGTACTCAGTTTTTACAATCAAATAGCAATTTTGTTTTTGTATATTTTTTATACCCACAAATAATTTATGAAAGAAAAACAAGTTTTAAGACATTACGAAAAGTAGCAAATCTAAATTATATGATGTACTTTTTTACAATTTACATAAATGTGTAGTTACACATTTGATAATATATCACTATATTATGGTCTCAGTGATGAAGGAAAACCATGTGCGGAAACTTGATCGTTTTGCAAAAACAACTAATGTATATTCATATGCACTGGATCAACTTCACGCGCTTTTGATTTTAGTACACAAGGTTTTTTTTGTGGTTTGTTGAAAATTACCTTTTTTTAAAATGAGACTAGACAGACACGTGACTACGATTGCTATAGATAAGTAATATTTATCAAAATTATAATTTTCGAAGCTACTATCTGTAAAAATAATTCCTATATTTCAAAGGAATGTTTTTGCTGCTTTGAGCCTTCTATTAACGGCCTGATGCCATACTTTCGACGTCAAATTTTATTAAAATATGGCATAGTTTCGTTTACTGTATATTTTGTTTATAATTATACTCTTCAACGATCTTCTAAAACGTGGTTGAGCCCAGCTGCAGCTATATTATCGACCCATTTGTGCTGACCCATGTTTCGTATGGTGAGTGTAGAGAAAATATCTTTTTTACTGGAAATGAGGAATTCCATCTAAGTTCTCAGGCGGCAAAGCTTCTGCATTTTGAATTTAATTGAAGATAGATGTCTATGGGTTACAGCGTCCATTTACTATCAGGTGGATTGTGAGCTTGTTTGTCACCCTTATTCTTATAAAAAAAACAGACCCCTAAATATTAATTGATACTGTGATTATATATAAAGGCTTTTGTTAGTTCAAAATCATAAAATAACATTTTGTTGGATAGACGAAATCCGAAATGGTGAATACCGGCAGCTGTACCATCCCGAACAGCTCATCACGGGCAAGGAGGACGCGGCCAACAACTACGCCCGAGGTCACTACTCTACAGGCCGGGACATACTTGAGCCTGTCATGGAGAGGCTAAGAAAATTGGCGGATCAGTGCACAGGTTTACAGGTATTCGATATTTTGTATATTTTAAATACTCTTCACATTTCTAAACAATCATCATCATTACAGCCCTTCACAAGTCCACTGCTGAACATAGAAGTCACCCAAGGAATGTCAAAAAGTACGACCTTCAGCCATTTGATCAGGTTTTCTTTTTTTACGTTTTAGAGCTATGCTGCAACTATATAACTCGTATAATTGTAGCACAAATGGGTCAGCTCGACCGGGGCAGGACCACGCTCTCACAGAATACCAGCGCAAAATAGCAGCTTAATGCTGCTGTGTTTCGTATGGTGATTGTAGAGAACCGGAGACCTTTTTTACTGGAAACGCGGCATTCCATCTTAGTCCTCACGGCTGACCACGCATCTGCATTTAGATTTCTTTATAGAGATAGATGTAGATATCTATGGGTCACAGCAACCCCTTACCATCAGGTGGACTATGTGCTCGTTTGTCACTGTTATCCTATAAAAAAACAGCGAAAAATAATGCTGTTTCGAATGGCGAGTGACCAAAACCGGAGAATTTACTGGCGATGGGACATCACATTTTATAGATTAAAACGCATCTGCAGTTGCATTTTTAATCAAGGAGATATGTAGAATCTAGATATATAGGCGACACAATTCACTTGATATCTGGTGGGGCCAGTCTCTTCGTTTTTCATCTGTACTTCTATTAAAACATTTCAAGAGGACGTATTTATTCTAGCACAAGATCATAATTACATAGCAACTTCCTCCAAATTATTGTTAGTTTTATATTTCATATAGGGTTTCTTCGTATTCCATTCATTCGGCGGGGGCACTGGCTCTGGTCTCACATCTCTGCTCATGGAGACGCTCTCTGATGAGTTTGGAAAGAAAAGCAAATTAGAATTCGCCATCTATCCAGCTCCACAAGTAAGTAGTTTTTATAACATTACTATGATCTTGAATAATTTTGTATTTCTCGTAACAGAGGACAGCATTTTGAGATAGATTAGGCAGCTACCCTTAACTTTTTAAGATATGCTAGTAAATCTTTATATATAAAAATTACGTGTCACATAGTTTGTCCACGATGAACTCCTACTACTGAACTGATTTCAATAAAATTTTGCACACTGTGTGCAGTTTGGCCCAACCTGAGAGATAGGATAGTTTTTATTCCGATAAGTGACCATTAATATTTTTTATTCGGAATTTAAGGATTTTTTATTGGAGAAATGGTCATCTCTGGAAAGGGCAGAACAACGTCTGCCTGGCCAGCTAGTAATTTATAAAATAGGAGATTACACACAAACAAAAACACGTATGTCGGGTTTTTTGTGTATCAATACTTATGCCCAAATGCGTAAATAATACCCAATTTTGCCGTTAAGTCTTGTGCCGTCTCTAACACTTTTAGTCAAAGCAACTGCACAGTCTAAGAAGGTAGTAGTTAGACTGTGGCGACTGTGACACCACAAGACTTAATCAAACGCCACTCAGTTTTAAGATATTATCCAGAAGTAGGAGGGATAAGTATAAAAAAATCGTAAGTTATGTTTTACGTATTAATAAAATAGACTATAGTCAGTTCAGTGGCGCAATGGATTAACAAAGAGTTGCGGTGCTGACTGCTACGTACGCAACAGTATTTGTAAGGGCTACAAATAGTTGTGCCTCCACGATACAGGAATAAATTGTAGTGTAGGTGTAACGTTTTTAAAAATTTGCAGTATGGCTCTACCACGTTTATATTGTTTTAAAACAATATAAACGTTGTAGAGCCATACTGCAACTATATTATGGTTGCGGCACTTATGGGTCAGCTGGACCGAGAAAGGACCACGCTCTCAGAGAATATCCGCGTAAAATAGCTCAATACGGCTGTGTTTCGTATGGTGAGTGTAGAGAAACGAATACCATTTTTACTAGATGGGAAGGCATTCCATATTAGTCCTCAGGGGTGAACGCACATGGAGTCTTAATCGGTGATAAATGTAGACATCTATGGGCCACAGTATGCACTTAACATCAGGTGGACTGTGTGATCCTTTATCATCCTTATTCTATAAAAAAAATTGGATTATGTGTGTGTGGGTTTCGACGGCGGTGGTGGAGCCGTACAACGCGGTGCTCACGACGCACGCGACGATCGCACACTCGGACTGCGCGTTCATGGTGGACAACGAGGCCATCTACGACATCTGCCGGCGGCGCCTCTCCATCGAGCGGCCCACATATACCAACCTCAACAGGCTCATATCACAGGTGAGCCATTTACGTGGTACAGCAACTTTGTTAGTAGGTGTTACCTAAACAGACGGCTTCTGAAGCAGAAAAGGGGCCCTACCGCCTAGTTAATGTAAATATATAAAGTATTACTATTATAAAATCAGTAATGTCTACATCTCTTTTCTTCTTTGCTCATAATATGTTTTTGTGGTAGGGGAAATAGTTGTAGTGTAGTAATAGATGTACTTGTTGTTGCATATTCATCCGTACGTTACTCACTAGAGGGCGCACTGAAAACCAGCTTCTTGGATAAAACCACGAAGTTATGCTGAGTGTAGTTCTTTTATACCAAACCCGCACACATAATAAAGCTTAAATAACTTTGATTGAATTGCTTCAATTTTATTTAGGATTTCGTTTTAGTCTGTAGTTATAAGTTGTTTAGTCCTATAATACATCTTTTGTAACATGTGTGATATGTAGTTTTTTTGTAATAAATGATTTTTCTTTCTTTAAATATTGACGAACAATATTGAACAAAACCATTTAATACTAGATTTAAGTGTAAGCCAAAGCATCCACAATAATTTTTTGAAATATTTTTTTTCTTATTTCTCAGACGTGCGGGTTTCCCCACGATGTTTTCCTACACCGCTGAGCACGTGGCAAATCAGCACTTATACTTTACAATTTCATTAGTGCAGGCGGGGATCGAATCCGGGTTGCACGCGTACTGTGAAATTTACAGCGAGCGCACAGCCCCTGAGCTGTGCCACGGCTCAATATCAAAAAGGCCCAAATAAAATCTTAAGTACCCTTGAAACTTTGTCACTGAACCTCCTAACAAAATTCGAAAACCAGTCGTTTATTGTTAGTTAATCATCATTTTTATTTACAGACATATGAGATATTTTTAGTTCTTTTCTTAGTTTTATGTTTGTTTTCGTTCGTTCGTTCGTTGACATGTTTTGCTTCGTAGGTGGTGTCCTCGATAACGGCCTCGTTAAGGTTTGACGGCGCGCTAAACGTGGACTTGACGGAGTTTCAGACTAATCTGGTCCCCTACCCAAGGATACACTTCCCGCTCGCCGCCTACGCCCCTGTCGTCTCGGCGGATAAGGTATGAAACTTTTATTCCAACACAAATTATAAATGTTTTTTGCTTAAAAAACTAAAAGGCTTTACTGTAGGAAGATGACAATGTGTAGCGAGAGGTCTTCTTTTATGATTTTAATTGCTATTTATCGTGTGAGTTATTACCTACGAGTTCATTGTTTTACTTCGTAGTTCAAGAGACAGACCTTCGTATTCATATTTGGATGCTAATAGTTTCTTTTTTACCGTCTTTAAAAAGTAGGAGGTGCTCAATTCGCTTGTATTTCTTACAAGACAACTTTTTTTCCAGTTGAACAGAATTTTAATGATTCTTTTTTTTTCTTGAAAGCTGGTGCTTCTCATGTGTTCCCATATAAATTTTGGTCGTCTGGCCAGTCGTTTTTGAGTTACCCTTAAGGCTTGATGACACTGGGCTAGTTTACGAGCTGCTAGCCGTTGAGTTTAAAAACTAGCGAGTGAGCGAGTAAGCGAGTGTCGATGACACAAAAACATTCCACTTGCTCAGTAGCGAACTAGCTAGCTTGTTGGAACCACGTGATGTTTTGCATGGCGTGCTAATTGCGTCTTTCGGCTAATTCTGTAAGCTAAAAATGAAGTGGAATACGCGTGATATAATGGAGTTTCTCAACATCTACGAGCAGTACGCTATTTTATGGAACATAAAATACAAAGAGTATTGTAACACAAAAGTAAAAGATGAAAGTTTCAAAAATATTTTAGTTAAACTTAACGAAAAACAATTAACTGCGGGTATGGATGTGAATTCAATATTGAAGGCAAAAATAAAATCAATTAAAGACGTATACAGATAAAACGACGGAAAGATGCTCGCAACTAGTTCAGTAGCAACGGTGATGACACACAGCTAGTTAACTAGCTTACAGGCTAAAACGCCAGTGAATGGCGAGTAAATTAGCCAGGCTTTCTATGCTTTTTTACAATCGGATTCTTCAAAAGCAGATTGTAAAACAGCTCAATTGCACACAGCGAGTTTACAAGCTGCTCGCGAACTCGGTGGCTTGTAGCTTGTAAACTAGCCCAGTGTCATCGAGCCTGTAATTAAGTCGGTTGTACAAAATGTTTAATTTTACCACTTGTTGTACTGTTTCACTGTGTATTATGTGCGGTGCATCTGCAGGCGTATCACGAGGGCATGTCGGTGTCTGAGATCACGGCTGAGCTGTTCGAGCCGCAGAACCAGATGGTGAAGTGCGACCCGCGCGACGGCAAGTACATGGCGTGCTGCCTGCTGTACCGCGGCGACGTCGTGCCCAAGGACGTAAACGCGGCCATCGCCGGCATGAAGGGCCGCGCCGGCATACGCTTTGTGGACTGGTGTCCCACCGGTTTTAAGGTTGGTGCGCCTTCACACTTTGCTCGCTAGAGGCTCGCACCTGTCAAAAGGGGTGGGGGAGGGATAGAATTTGAAGAGATAACTTTCGTTTGCCACGATCCTGACACACATGTGTTGCTTCTTTTACATGTACATACTTTCACACACATGCTCTTGGACTAAGGGTAATAATGTTTTCTAGACGTAATTTTGGTCACAACGGCCAGTCTCAAGGGAGACTAGTTGTATGCGCAAGACAGGATTGTAGTGCACGTGTGTGTGAGTAAGCATAGGTGCACTCTCCACTTTCTCTCTCTTTCATAGTCCGATAGGACAGTAATCCAACACTACCGGAGAGAGATCAGCAGCGTAGAACTAACGGTTTTACGCGCTTTCCGATGCACGGGAATGAAGCACCGCCATCTTCCTGACTCCAGGATGCTACTGAGTTTCTTACCAGAAAACTCAATAACTTGTGTTGATCCGTCCCTGGATCAGCTAAGGGTACTCTTAACTTGGCCCATCTTTAATATGTTGCCAATTTGATCTTAGTTTCTCAATATATCTAAAACTATACAAATAACCTGAAAAATATGACGTCATTGTTATTTCCACACAATTTCCGTCTCTTTTATAATATTTGTTAACTGTAATTCAAATAACTATGGAAATATTTAACATTGTTTAAAAATATATTGAATAAAAAATATGAGCGGCACGTTTTTTCATATCAGCAACATTTGTACCATGTTTTACGCAAATAAGTATTATTATTATTATATATAATAAGGGTGACAAACGAGCACACAGTCCACCTGATGGTAAATGGTTGCTGTGACCCATAGACATCTACATCTATCCTCAATAAGAATCAAAATGCAGATGCGTTGTTACCTCTGATGACTAAGATGGAATGTCTCATTTTTAGTAAAAAGGGTCTACGGTTCTCTACACTCACCATACGAAACAGCAGTGTTAAGCTGCTATTATACGCTGGTATTCTGTGAGAGCGTGGTCCTTCCCCCGCCGAGCCGGCCACTTAATATTATTACTCTTATTACTGTCTTATTACAAAAAGTATTATACAGCCCGTTTCAATAATAAGTCTCGTGGATAAATATGCGAACTGAAATGAAATCCATGCGTTACATTTCAGCAAATTTCGGCAAACATTTTTCATATTTCGAGTGGTCTGTGACGCCGATTTTTTTCGCTTTTTTCTCTATAAATAAACCACTTTTTGTAATTAGACCCAATTCAAGCGACAGTAGCCTAATGGCAGGTTGCGAACAGCGAACTCAAAATGTCCGTGGGTTCGAATCCGCCATTC